CCGGGGGAACCGCGCGGTGAACAAATGCAGAAACATGCGTGTGTGTGTGTGGGCGAAGGCAAAACAATACACAACCAAACAACAGCAACCACAACCAAAAGCGAAGGCAACTACGACGATGATGAAAAGGAGGAGGACGGCGTTTACGGTTACTACTAATGCTGCTTCCCTCGGGTTTCCAATTCCTAGGTAGGGTCGCGCGGGGGAAATTAGTACACGTTCGCAAAGATGTATGTGTGCATGTGTACATACTATATATCTATATATGTATCCCTTTGGGTACGCGTGGTACACACACATATATATATATAATGTATACGTGCGTGTGTGTGTGTCGGTGTTTCGGTATGTGTGTGTGCGCGTGTGTGTGTGTGTGTGTGTGTGTGTAAGTGTGTGTGTGTGTGTGTGTGTGTGTGTGTGTGTGTGTGTGTGTGTGTGTGTGTGTGTGTGTGTGTGTGTGTGTGTGTGTGTATAAGTGTGTGTGTGTGAGTGCGTGCGTGCGTGCGTGCGTGCGTGCGTGCGTGCGCGCGCGTGTGCGCTCGCGTGACTTGCGCGGGACCCCCCCCTCTGTGAGGCTGGGGCCCCGCGGGCAATGGGGGGGCCCTTCACGACTGGACCCCATCCTCCTCCACTTCCCCCCCCGCCCCCTCCTTGCCATCCCGCGCGCCCGCGCGACCCTCGCAATTATAGGATCAGCGACGACGCGCGCGATGTTGTTTGGCCAGTTACGTTTCCGACATTTCTCGCAATTCTGGTTTCGGAGATGCCTCGGTCGCGTGGCCCGGCCAGTCTCGCCAGTGGGGTTGCTGGGGTTGCCAGGAGGCATGCCAGGGAGTTCGCTCGAAGCGTGCCCGCTCGCTTGTGGCGCAGTTTGCCTTGCCCGCGCTGCGCCCCATCTCGGATTGCGCCAGTGCTGGGTCGCGCGTGAAGGCGCGGCTGCCAGCTCGCGGGAAGACGTTTCCTCCTTCTCGGCGAATTGCGTTTCGTTGGGGGCAGCGCGGTAGGTTTTGCATGTCTCGCCGCGCAGCGTCGGGCGCAGCTGCCGCGGACCTTGATTGGCCGGCGCCTTGCCGGGCGCCAGCGGCTGCGCGCTGCGCCTGTTTTTTGCGCTCCAAGAAGCCTCCACGTGGATTGTCCGAGAAAGCCAATCGCGTCTACAACGCTTGCCGAGAAGTTTCTCGATTGCGGCATTATTCGCCCCAGCCGACAGGCCGCGTGCCTGCGGGGCGTGGAGCGTGGGATTGCGTGCTCGGGTTCCCGCCAAGCCAGCGGTTGAATCGAAGCTTGGGCGCTCCAGGTAGTCTTGGATGGCCGCCATTCATTAACACATGGTCTGACGGGACCCAGACATCACGCGGATCTTGGACGGCGGGCCGCAATGCAGCACCTCTTCACTGCTCCGCCGATGCCGTTTGGCAACATTCGCCCGCCGCGGCATGTCGCGTCGGGCGTCCGTGCTCGGTTGCAGAGGACACGTTGCTTTCAAGTGTCGCTTGCGCGCGGTAGCGGCGCTTGCAAAGCACACGTTGCTTTCGGTTGTAAGCGGCACGGCGCTTGCGCGCGAAGTAGGCGGAGCCGCACGCGGCCGACGCGAAGAGGAAACGGGATGAGGACGAAACGACGCGCGACGAGTACGAGCGCAGACGATACATTTGAATTAGTAAGGACGCATGGGCGTGCAGTAGCAGCGCGAACCAGAAGATGGACCGTAAACCGGGAAACAGGATGGGGGGTGTCCAGGGGGTTGTCCAGGGCGGTCCCCATGGGTTTGTCCAGGGAGCGTCCAGCTTCAATTTCCTCCTCCCCCTCGTCCTCCTCGTTGGCCTCCCGCTGATGGTCCTCCTCCTCCTCCTCCTCCTCCTCCTCCTCCTCCTCTTCGCGCGGGAGAAGCGTCGACAGTTGTCGCGGCCAACTTCGTGCAGTGCGCCGCGTGAGTGCCAAATCGCGCGGGAGCCAAGTCAGAGACCACCGTTCCGAGGATCACCACGTTGTGCCGTATGCGAGCCGAGTCAAGTGATCCAGACACCGATGCCATGAGAAACGCCAAGGCGCGCCGCGCGCGAGTTGCTTCGCACGGGGGCCCATTTCGTGGACCGCCGCCACAGCAGTCACAATGGCGCGCCCGTGTGGGAACGAATCTGGGGACCGCAGCCACAGGAACCACGGGCACACCGCACGAAATCCCACCCGCACATGGAACTTCTCAGCGACCGCCACACCACAACCATTGCTGTTACCGCCACAGCGATCTCCCCCCTCGTCATCCCTAGTTCCTGTTCTCTCTCCTCCCTCTCTCCTCCTCTCCCTTCGGCTCGGTTGGGACGGAAAAGGGGAACAAGGGAGGAGGGCGAGGAGGGGCTGGAGGAAGAGGAGGGGGGGGAGGAGACGGACCACGACGCCGACGATTACGATGATGGCGGCGGCTGTTGCCTCGGCGGCGACGCGTGCGCGCGCTGCGGCGCACGCGGCCCGTCGCAGCTCTGGGTTCAGGGAGGCCGCGCGAGAGGTGGTCTGGCGAGTTCCGCCTGCGACGTCCTCGCAACTCTACGCTTCATTCCTCGAGACATTCCGCCTGAGACATTCCTCGCCTCTTTGGGTTCCGAGATCGCGCACACGAGATTGTCCAACCAGTTTTGCTTGAGCGACCCTCGCAACCCCGATATGCCATGACCTGAAGTGGCCTGGCCAGCGTCGCATGCGACACCTTGGCAACTACGGCCTCAGATGCCGCTTGCGACGTTTTCAAGCCATTGTCGCTTGAGACGCCCTCGCAACGCTCGGCTTCAATATGCCCTGACCGGAGGTGATGCGGACGCCTTCTGAAATATCGTCAGATGCCGCGCGGGAGTTGGTGTGGCCAGTTTCGCTTGACACGTCTTCGCAGCTCTTGGCTCGCAGATGGCGCATGCGAGGTGCTCCAGCCATCTCCGCCTGAGGTATCCTCGCATGTCTGGGCTCCTATTATTTAATCGCTTCGCTCATGCCGCCGGCCCTGGAGCCCTCTTTAGGGCCTCTTGGGGGCCTCTTGGGGACCTCTTGGGAGTCTCTTGGGGCTCCTTGGCGGCGTTTTGGAGGCCCCCAGGGCCTCTTGGGGGGCTCTTGGGGGTAGTCGATTGCGGCTCCCCCCTCGGAGGCCACGATCCTCGTGAGGGGTGTCGAAAAATACCCTCCCCTGGAGTGGTCTGGTGGCTTCTCCCGGGCTTCTCTCGGGACCTTGCCGGGGTACTTTTCGTCTGGGGGCCCCCAGGGGCCGCTCCGCGCGCGCGAACTAGAAATATTGTTAACAAGTTACCGGAGATCTTAGCACGCCTCTGGCCCGTTGGGCCGGCGAATTTGACCTGCGGTGGTCCAGCCAGTTTCGTCTGCGACATGCCGCGCACGATGTTTTCCAGCCCATCTCGCGTGAGACATTCTCGCAACTCTGGGCTCGGAGATGCCGCGAGAGAGATGATCCAGCCAGCTTCGCCTGCGACAACGCCGTAACTCTAGGCTCCGAGATGCCGCGTACGAGGTTGTCCAGTTAGTTTCGCCTGGGATGTCCTCGCAGCTCTGGGCTCCGAGATACCGCGCACGAGGTTGTCCAGGTAGTTTTGCATGAGACATCCTCGCATTGCTCCTGACACTCTGACTTGAGGTGGTCTGGTCAGTTTCGCATGAGCCTTCCTCCAGATTTGGGGCTCAAGGGTGCCGCGCGTGAAGTTGTCAGGCAAGTTTCGCCTGAGGCATCATCGCAATTTTGTGCTCAGTGGTGCCCTGACCCGAGGTGTTCAAGACAGTTTCACCCGAGACTTCCTTACAAATCTGGGTTCGGAGATGCCGCGCGAAAGTTGGTCTGGCCAGTTCCGCCTGAGACATCCTCGCAGCACTGCGCGCTGGCCACGTCCCTGAGTGGGAACGGTACTCTCGCCTAAACGCCGGCCACATCCTTCATTTGGTAAAAGTGGTGCTGCCGCTCGAGTGCCAGCCAAATCCGTCATTGGGAATGGTGTTTGGGATTGATGCTGTCGTCAACGCGCTGGCCACATCCCTCATCATTGAGCGTGGTGCTCTCGCTTTTGCGCCGGCCACATCGGCAAGTGGGCATTGTGCTGACGCTCGCGCGCCAGCCACAAACACATGCTTGGACGCTAATGGTATGCATCTTGGAGGGGTTGTCCGGGTTGTCCAGGGGGCTATCTGGGGATATGGTCGTGTGTATATGTATAGCAATACAGACGTACATGCACGCGTGCATGTTTGCATGCATGCACGCATACATACATACATACATACATACATACATACATCCATCCATCCATACATACATACATACATACACACATACATACATACATACATTCATGTAAACATACACGCATGCATACTTACACTCATACACACATACATACATACATGCATGCATGCATGCATGCATGCATACATTCATACATACATTTACAAACGTATACGGACGCATGCATTACACAACTACATACAGACAGACAGACAGACAGACAGACAGACAGAGACAGACAGACAGGCAGGCAGGCAGGCAGGCAGACAGACGTACGTACATACATACATACATATACGTCTATGTGTGCATAGATGCACATATATACACGCGCTTTCAAACGTTCATAAATATACGCAGCGCGGGACGCAGCGTGCTCGGACACGTTCCTGTGACAGCTTGTTTCGTCCTGGACTGTTTTGGGTATTATGTCCCAAGGCCTAGAAAACAAGAGCTTCTTGACACGGAGCCCTGCAGGGAATGTCCGCTCGTGTTGTCCGGTTGCAGTCGTTGGGATTTTGTTGTCTTTGGCATGCGTTGCGGGCTTGATCCCTGGAGGTTGCTTTCCTGGGGTGCGGCGATAATCGGGGTTATCGAGCCCGCCCCCCCCCCCCCGCGGAAAACCAGACCTTGTCGGTTGCGCAGGTCCGAAGGGGGTGCGCAGCACTGGCGCGCGTGGGCATACGAGGGGCGTCGCCGAAGTCTTTTTGAACGATTTCCTGCACAGGCTCGGAGCCTCGGCGCTGGCCATTGACACGGAGGAGCTACCGCTGGCGATGCTTCGGGAGGCTCTGCAGCCCCTCCCAACGCCCCGCGCGGGCCTTCGCGAGCCCTTGGGAGGTGAGGGAGGGGGAGGAGGGCTCTCCCCTTCGTCCCTTCCTCCTTCCACGGCAACTTTCGATCTTATCGACCTGGTTCGATATCGGTTCGTGTCAGCCCGTTTCGATTGCAGTTGTTGTGCGATCAGGAGCGGCCCGATGCTTGCATGGCGCTGTTATGCGTCCCAGCGCCGCCGAGTCGATTCGATTCCGACTCCGAGCCGATGCGGCCCGACTCGATACACGTTCGATTCGGTGCTGGCTGCTCGTGCCCTCTTCTCATCCTACTCCACCCCCACGGGGGCATCAGGTGCAGGTCGGACCCCAAGCTCCGAGTACATCTTGAAGTGCAATCTTTTGCCGGTCGCATGCATGAGTTCTTTCCTCCCTTGGGGTGAGGGCAGGAAGACCCGTACCTCCTGGCGTCGTGAGAAAACAGCGACGGACATTCGCCTACAGTCAAGTCGCATAGTGAGAATGAGCAAATTTCCAAGGCTACCTTTGCATCCTTGCCCTCTGGCCCGTCCTTGGCCACTCTCGCTGGCCGCGCCCCGCTCGCAAAGTGTCGACATGGCCTTCCGAAGCCCTTGCATCCGCATCGTGTGTCCTTCTCATACGGGTTGATCGTGCAATTCCTGCCTCTCAGTTTGGTGGTGAACCACGGGGGGCCATCCTCAAAATGTCACGCGAAGAAGAAGAACACGCCCTGGGGTCCTGAGGGCCACGGGGGCGGAGAGGTCTTGGGGCATGACGGGGAGGACCAGAAAGCGCTGGTCCCATCTATAGCTGTAAGGCCGGGGCCTTCTAAGGAACAGCCTCCTTGTAAGAAGCCTGCCCCCCTCCCTCCACCCCCCTGCGCGCGCCGTTAGCCCCCCCGCCCTGCCGCTCCCCCCCCCCTCCTCCGCCTCTCGCCACTGGGCACGCTCTTCGCTGGTGTAAGCACATGCGTGGGTGTCTGACGTCCTCTGGCCCCTCCCCCTGTTCTCCACGTCGTGCTTTTGCTGCTCCTCTCTCCCTCGTTCGGCGGGGAGCGCTGGCTGCTGGGAGCCGGCGGCACGAGATGACCTCGAGCGGGCCACGCCAGGGATGCAGCGAGGCTCTTCAAGACTGCGCGTCGAGACCTCCGACTTTGTGTTTTGCAATGCTGGGGTCGGCCCTGTCCCGCGGAACGGTACAGTTGAGGAGGTCCACGATGCTCCCCACGAGGTGGAGATTCGAGGTGTGTCGATCGGGACGCCGCACAACTGGGGGACCACACACCCACAAAGGCCATGTTTGGCTCTTGCCACCGGGCGGTGGCGGCGTTGAGTAGCATTTCTGATGCGGTCCCTGGGGTCCCAAATGGGCCTCCAGACAGGCCAGCACAGCCAGCAGGCACCCGTGAGCGGCGAACGTATCCAGATCCATGCCCTCGCGGTCAAGGATACCGAGGCGCGATCCCATGGCTACGCGATCCTATTGGTGCGCCCCGTCCAGGCATCCGCGCAGAACCGGTCTGTTATCGCTGCCAGCGTAGGCAATGCGAAACAGATTTCAGACAGACCCTCGCTTCCCCACCTTGCACGCACACGCGAAGAAATGAACACGATTTCCAAGCGTGTTTGCAAGCGCGTTCGGGCCCCGGAGAAGTCGCGTGTCCGACAACGTCGGACAAATTGCGTTGTTCGATTGGGAATTTCTAGAAGTGCTAAGTCGATCCGTTGTTGCCCAGCAGGAGTCAACAGCAGATTAGATGTCCCAACCATCCTGTGTTGTTGGGTTCTCGTTTTGAAGAGACAGCGCATCGCGTCCCACTTCCTCCTCCTCCTCCCTCCTCCATGCGTGTCACCCACCCAGTACAGCGCTTCGTGGCCCCATACCCGCCCAGTGTAGTGTTTCTTGGCCCCATGGGGACTTCCGCCGACGGCCCCATGAGCGCAGCCCGCATGCGTCTCCCACACCTGGTACAGCGCTTCGTGGCCCCATAAGGAGCTCCACCTAAGGTCCCAGTGGCGCAGCCCGCATGCGTCTCCCACACCCAGCACAGCGCTTCGTGGCCCCGTGGGGAGCTCCACCGACGGTCCCAGCTTCGCAGCCCGCGTGCGTCTCCCCCACCCAGCACACCGCCTCGTGGCCCCATAGGAAGCTCCACCGAAGGTCCCAGTGGCGCAGCCTGCATGCGCTCTCACACCCAGTACAGCGTTTCGTGGCCACGTGGGGAGCTCCACCGGAGGTCCTGATTGCGCAGCCCGCGTGCTTCTCCCCCACCCAGTACAACGTTTCGTGGCCCCATAGGGCGCGCATGCATCTCCCCAGCCCAGAGCAGCGCTTCCCCAGTGGCGCAGCCCGCATGTGCCTCCCCCCCACCCAGTACAGCGCTTCGTGGCGATATGCGGAGCTCGACCAAAGGTCTCAGTGGCGCAGTCCGCATGCGTCTCCCCCATTCAGTAAAGCGTTTCGTGATCCATAGTTCGCTCCACCGAAGGTACCAACTGCGTAGCCCGCATGCGTCCCCCCAACCAGTAGAGCGTTTCGTTGCTCTTTAGGAAGCTCCACCATGGGTCCCAGTGGCGCAGCCATGCGTTTCCCACGCCCAGTACAGCGCTTCGTGGCCCCATAGGGAGCTCAACCGAATGCCCAGGTGGCGCAACCCGCATGCGTCTCCCCCACCTAGTGCAGCGCTTCGTGGCCCCATAGGGAACTCCACCGAAGGTCCCAGCACCCAGTGCAGCGTTTCGTGGCCAATAAGGATCTCCACAGAAAGCCCCAGTGGCGCAGCCCGCGTGCGTCTCCCCCCGCAATACAGCTCTTCGTGGCCCCGTGGGGACTTCCGCCGACGGTCCCGGGGGGTGTAGCCCGCATGCGCCTCTCACACTCAGTACAGCGCTTCGTGGCCCCATAGGGAGCTCCACCTAAGGTCCCAGCTTCGCAGACCGCGTGCGTCTCCCACACCTGGTACAGCGCTTCGTGGCCCCATAGGAGCTCCACCGAAGGTCTCAGTGGCGCAGCCCGCAGGCGTCCCCCCCACCCAGTACAGCGTTTCGTGGCCCCGTAGGGAGCTCCACAGACGGCCCCACGGGCGCAACTCGCATGCGTCTCCCCCACCGAGTACAACGTTTCGTGGCCCCGTAGGGAGCTCCACTAACGGTCCCAGGGGCGCAGCCCGCATGCGCCTCCCACACTCAGTACAGCGCTTCGTGGCCCCATAGGGAGCTCCACCGAAGGTCCCGGCGTCGCAGCCCGCATGCATCCCCCCGCCCAGTACAGCGCTTCGTGGCCACGTAGGGAGCTCCACCGAGGGTCCCAGTGGCGCAGTCCGCATTCGTATGCCCCGCCCGGAGCAGCGCTTCGTGGCCCTATGCGGGGGCTTCGCCGAAAACGATACCCACAACGGCGGTATTCACAATTGCGTATGGTTGGATCTTTCGCCAGGCTTTTTTTGTCATCCAACCATCATTTGGTGTTGGGTCCTATTTTTGAAGAAGCGGCGCCCTGCGTTCCGCCTCTCCTCTCCTCTTCCTCTCCTCTCCTCTCCTCTCCTCCTCCTCCTCCTCCTCCTCCTCCTCCTCCTCCTCCTCCTCCTCCTCCTCCTCCTCCTCCCCCCTCCCTTTTCCGCAGTTCGCATGCGTTTTCCACAGCCAGTACAGCGCTTCGTGGTCCCATAGGGAGCTCCACCGAAAGTCCCGGTGGCGCAGCCCGCATGCGTCTCCATACCCACTACAGCGTTTCGTGGCCCCATTGGAAGCTCCACCGAAGGTCCCAGTGGCGCAGCCGCATGCGCGCATGCGTACCCCCCACCCTGTATAGCGCTTCGCGGCCCCATAGGGAGCTGCGACGAAAGTCCCAGTGGCGCAACCCGCATGTGTCTCCCACGCCCAGTACACCGCTTCGTAGCCCCATAGGGAGCTCCACCTAAGGTCCCAGTGGCGCAGCCCGCATGCGTTTTTATACCCAGCACAACGCTTCGTGGCCCCGTAGGGGGTCCACCGGAGGTTCCAGTGGCGCAGCCCGCATGCGTCTGCTCCATAGGGAATTCCACCATGGGTCCCAGTGGCGCAGCCCGCATGCGTCTCCAATTCCCAGTACCGCGCTTCGTGGTCCCATAGGGCCCATAGGGAGTTCCACCGAAGGCCCCAGTTCCGCAGCCCGCATGCGTCTCCCCCACCCAGCACAGCGATTCGTGGCCCCATATGGAGTTCCACCGAAGGTTCTAGTAGCGCAGTACGCATGCGTCTCCCCCACCCAGTACAGCGCTTCGTGGCCCTACAAGTGGGCCCCACCGAAGACGATACCTACAACTGGGGTGTTCACAACTGCATAAGGCTGGGTCCCTCGCCAGGTTAATTGTAAGGCATATCTATATATGTCTAAGTATATGTATGCCTGTCTGTCTGTGTGTGTGTCTGTTTGTATGTAGTATGTGTGCATGTATGTTTGTATGTATGTATGCATGTGTATCTATGTGTACATATATATATATATATATATATGTATACTCACAGATGTCAACACGGTGTGGCAGAAGTATGTGTAAATTGAATCAGGGGTGGTGGATCGACATTTCCCCAAAGCTGCTTGCACTTACGGGTTATCGCTTCTGCTCCAAGGAATTGGGCTGGTTGGCCAGTCTGGCGAATATGTCGTCGCCGTCGTCGCCCCGTCGCCGCATTTTCGCCGCCCGTCGTTTGGACCTGTTGGCCGGTCTGGCGGCTATGTCGTCGCCGTCGCCGCCCCGTCGCCGCTTCGTCGCCGCCCGTCGCCGCCGCTGGATTGCACCACGTAGATTGCGCACGAAAGATTTGCGCCTGTGGCGCGCTGTTTGATCGTTCTTATCTTAGGGCGCACCGAGTATATTGCACAACGTAGTTTGCTTCACATATATTGCAGACCCACATATATGTGTGTATATTGCACCCTATTCCCAGAACAGTGTTTGCACTTTGAGGTTTATTTGTCTGGTATAGCGAAGTGGGCTGGTTGGCAAGTCTGGCGGCTATGTCGCCGTCGCCGCCTCGTCGTCTCCCGTCGCCTTGGTTTGAGCGTCGGCTGGCGGTTCCGTGCCAGCCGTCGCCGCCCCGTCGCCGCTTCGTCGCCGCCTGTCGCCGTTGTTGCACTGTCGCCGTCGCGTTGCACCAAATGTATTGCACCACGTAGATTTCACAACGTAGATCGCACAACATGTTCTGCCAGAAACATGATTACGGGTGGTGCCAATGCTGGCTAACAAGTGTCCTTCGTAAGGAGAGTCTCTGTGGTGCATTCAACTTGCGCAATTCATTATTGTTCGCAGTGAGTTGTCAATTGCACTGCCCCCCGCAATCATCCCACCCCACTCTCCCGCAACTTTGTTTCAAAACCGATGCGGCGGCGATTGCGGTGACTGCTTGGCGCTGGCTGGCGCCTCGTTTCGGCCGCGCTAGCGCGCGCAGGCTCACGCGCAGAGCTGCCGGCTGGTCTGGCGACCGAGGCGGCCGCGTGGGCGCTGACCGCCGGGGAGTCCCCAGCGCGTCTCGCAGGCCGCGCTATCGCGCGTGCACTGCAGTGCGAGTCGGTGATTCGGGTGGGCGCGGTATCATGGCGGCGTCGACAACGGCATACCCGATGAACGATGTTGGCGACGATGGTGACGATAACGACGGTGAAGCCAATAACGGTGCCGATGCTGATCACGCTGATGACGGTCATGGTGTCGACGTGTCGGTGATGAATTTTTTGAAAATGAAATCGACATGCGTGCGCGACCGACAGGCGCGAGTGACCCGCATGGCATTATTTGACGAAGATCGTGCCCCCCCCGCAAGCGCGCAATGGCGACGACTGACCTCGACACGCGCGCACGCGAGGCCCGCTTGGTCGCATTTGTTGAGCAAGTGGTTTTGCATTGTCTCCTTACCAGAAAAAAGAGTTTTCGTTCGAACTTGCCAGAGCGCGCGCGCGGACCTTGTTCAAGACATCGCGTTGCAAAACCAATGGTTAGTGTTTCTCTGTTTTCGAGAACCTCGGTTTTGATACATTTGCGACATGTGTTTGAAGGATTCCGGCAGCGCGTATGATATTTGTCAAATGTGTTACAACGGGTTCGCGCGAATGTAATGATAAACAAGTGCGCGTGCATAGTGTGTGCTGTCAGGGATGGGGTGGCGGTACATAGCTGCCAGACCGCCATTCAGGGCCAGTTCCGTCAAACAGAAGTAATATCCTTAAGTGCAAGCACAGTTGTAGGACCCATCGCGAATATTCTAGACATGATTGTCTTCACCACGGTTTGGAGCAACTTGTGCTTTTGAGGACCCTCTTGGGGGTCTTTTTGAGGCCCTCTTGGGCTGTCTTCGCAGCCATACCGGACCGTCTTGAAACCATGTTAATTTTTGAAGACCCTCGCCGTGTCAGGCCCAACTTGAGCCAGCTTAGATGGCATCTTGTGCATCTTGGAGGCCATGGGAAGTAGATTTGAACGCTCCGGAGACCCTGGGGGTGCGTTGGCGAGCTTTGTTCCCTTCTTTAATGCGATTTGGGACCCCAGGGGAGAGGGAATCGAGGAGGGGGACAGCCAATCATCTCACACGCAGTTGCACCCCCGGAAAGCGGGGATCGGCGGATTCCAAAGTTCCTCGCGTAGTTGGAGAGGCCCCCAGGGAACTAGGGGGGGGCCCTCGAGGGAGACGCCGGGTGGAATTAGTGCATGTGTCCTCGGGTGCATTTGCACAGAAACAGTTTTAGATGTCTTTTGTGCAACACCGTCAACGGTAGCAAGCATTAAATACCGCGCATGCGTGTATTTACCCCGTTCGTCCGTACCCATTTTGGTCAAAGGCGTTTGTACGCCCCACGCCAGGTGGTTACCTCCTCGGCCCTTGCTATTTTTGGGCCAGGACTTCGTCCTACAGGGGGGGGCGAAATAGTTTCAGAGTTTCGCAGCCGTGGTATGGACAGTTCCACGTCATGGAGCGTTTGGTCGCCAGCGCCCGACGGTGCAGGCTTAGGCCCGCACGGAGACCCTTACCCTGATAACAAGAATGACACCAAGCGTGGTGTCTGCATGGCAGCGCTGGGCTCCGATGGCGGCTTCGACGTGACGTCTTCGGGCTTTTCTGGAAACCCTTACCCAGACAGCAAGAATGACACCAAGCGTGGTGTCTGCATGGCCCCGCTCGGCTCCGATGGCGGCTTCGACGCGGCGTCTTCGGGATTTTCTGGAAACCCTTACCCAGATCACAATAATAATACCAAGTCGTTCTTTTTCGTGGAGCCCGACTCCCTTTTGGATGGCGGGCTTGGCACTGGGGGCGTAACCAGGGGTGTCAAGTTGAGCGGCTTCGGGGGCGCGGAACCACACGAAGGCTTCAGCAGCTGGTTGGCGAAGGAGCCAGGCGAAGGCTTCATGGGGAAAGGCAGTTACCCAAACTTCACGGACGCGCCGGGCACCTACGGCCACGAGGCGCAGATCCCTTTGCCGCACAGCTTCGAGCAGACCCATGCCACGCAACCTTGCCCCGAGAAGGTGTCGCACAAGTCCATGCCGTTTCTATTCAATCATTACTCTGGAATCTTCACCAATAACGACAACCCTCTGCCCGCGCCGACCGGAAAGTATTCTGGACTGTCCTCCACGGTGCACAAGGTCAAGACAGACGAGCCAGCCCGTGTAGGCAACAGTTTGTTGAAGTTCATGTCTGAGTATTTACCATCCCAGTCAGTCTTTGCTGAGTTGCTGAAGCCTATCCCGTCCAAGGAGCACAAGACAAAGTACAGCATGAAGCTGCTCACGTTTGTGCAGAGCAACTGGTGCCAACTGAAAGTCAAAATGTACGAGGCGGCGGAGGATGTGTACTTGATCGAATTCCAGCGTCGCTCTGGGGACTCGCTGGCCTTCAACAGTGTCTACCGGCTCGCCGAAAAGTATCTCCTGGATCATGGTTTCCCTCTTGAGGGTAGTGGCAGCAGGGGCGGCGGGCGTGGCTTGTGCCGCTTCGTTCCTCCCAGCGTGCCCCTGCAGCTAATGGAGGACGAGGAAGTGCCCTGGGTTGAGCCAGAGTGCATGTTAGGGCCTGTGTTCGATCTGTCGAGGTCCAAGTGTGCGAGGTATCAAGCGGAAGGTGCGACCGCCATAGCGGAGATGGCCAAAGCCGCCGAAGAGAAGCCGAAGCAGAAGTTCCCATGGTCCGAGGAGCTGAAGGACGTGATGTACAAGCTGCTCGAGGTCCAGGAGACTATCGTGGCCTTTCCGGCGGTCAAGGCCTTACACAGCCTCGCGAAGGTGCACCCAGAGGCCAGGAAGGTGGCGGCGGAGAAGAGGGTGGCGGCGGCGCTGGAGCACTCGCGCAGCAGCCTGGTCATGGGGAACGACACTCGTCGTCGCCGTGGTCGTCGTCGTCGTCGTCGTCGTCGTCGTCGAGGTCGTCGTCGTCGTCGTGGTCGCCGTCGTCGCCGATGTGGTCGAGGGGGAGCCACGGCAGCCTGGACGGCGGCCAGCCGGCCAATCCGCGAGCAGGCCACCAAAACACGAAGGCATCCCCTGCGGCCCCGAGTGTGGAGCCCCAGTTTCTCTACGACAAACCCTCAGACAGGAACGCGCACGATTCGTAACTGCGGAGCGCGGCACGGCACGCTGAAAATGTTGTGCCTCACACTGCGGCCAGATCTGATGGCTCCGACTGCGAGCAGGCCACCCGAAGCACGAAGACACTCCCTGCGGCCCCCAGGGTGGAGCCCCACGGGGGAGGCCCACGCTGGTGGGCGGTGGGCGCCCTGCCACCTTGTCGGAGAACCGACATACATAACCACAAATGTGAGTTCTCGGGGGGGCCCTCGGGGTGGGCCGATGTCAGGAGCGAAAGCTGGACGTACACGTACACGAATCCACGTTGGTTTCGGAAGTACGTATTGCGCGAGCGTTCGTATCACGAGGCTGGTCTCGCTGACTGGGGGACCGTGTTCATATACGCGGTTGGGCGCGTACGTCTTTCGTGGGCTCCATATGGTAGGCGCATAAGAGCCCTCGAGGCACAACAAACCGGTGGAAACAAACTTTCGGAACTTCGCGCGGATTTCTTGGATCGGCGTTGGGCCCCCCTGGCGGCGCCTCCCGCGCCGGCCCTAGCGCGCCACACGCGCTATCCGCGCGGATTTCAGAGAAATCAGGGTATGCGTCTCGTAAACCTCTACAGTCATCACGCTGAAATATGGACAGCTTTGGGTTCGGAAGGGACACGCTTTTCCTCAGGTCCTTCCGTGGTTGTCCCTCCGGCCCTCTTCGTGCGCCCCGGCGCTCGTGGTGCCCAAAACGGGACTTCGTATTGTGTTGTGTTGTTACTTATTTCAGCAGCCCGACTGTACCTATCCTCCCGCTCCCCTCGCAGAGGTCCGCGGGGAGGCCGCGCAGTTGCGCGAGCTCATTGCGGCGCACTGCGGCTGACCGCGCGGCCGCGGTCCGCCCCCGCGCGGAGGTTTCTTGTTGACGCCTGCGCGTGGGCCACCTCGTGGGATCGGAGCGCCCCGCCCGTCCGGGGCGTGAAGGAGGAGGAGGAGGATGAGGCAGGGGGAGGAGAAGGAGGAGGAGGAGGAGAAGGAGGAGGTGGAGGAGGAAGAGGAGGAGGAGGAGGAGGCAGGGGGGAGGAGGAGGAGGAGGAGGAGGAGCCAGGGGTACGAGGCACGGGGCGTAGGCAGGAGGAGGAGGAGGAGGAGGAGAAGCAGCAGGAGGCAGAGGAGGAGGAGGAGGAGGAGGAGGAGGAGGAGGAGGAGGACGAGGAGGCAGGGGAAGGGGCAGGGGGAGGAGGGCAGGGGGAGAAGGAAGGGGGAGGAGGAAGGGGGAGGAGGAAGGAGGAGGAGGAGGAGGAAGAGGAGGAAAAGGAAAAGGAGGAGGAGGGGGAGGAGGAGGAGGAGGAGGAGGAGGAGGAGGAGGGGGAGGAAGGGGAAGACAGAAAGGGGGAGGACGAGGAGGTGAGGAGGAGGAGGAGGAGAAGGAGGAGGAGGGACAGAAGACGAGGAGGAGGAGGAGGAGGAGGAGAAGGAGGAGGGGCAGGAGGCAGGAAAGGACAGGGATTTTTTCACTGTGTGCGAACGCCAAGCAAAACTCTGCAAGCAGGTTAAAACTTCGCGGCATGAAAAATGAGGCTAACTGCATAAATCTGCCTAACCAGCGTGCGCCTGCAGGGCCGATACGACCGGCAGGAGCCTTGTAGCCTCTACCGGGACCAACCGCGACGCTGCACTCAAAACGGGTGCCACTAGCCACGGCTCTTCCCGCAGCTGTCTAATTACCTCATCTCCGTCGGAAAAGCGGCTGAGCAACTCGAGGTCAGAGACCGAGAGCGCCTTCGCACCCTCGGCAAAACTCGAGCCGGAACAATGTTGCCCAGAAAAAGCCGAAATTTCCACCTCACCCGAAAGAGCGCTCATAGCCATCTGATCGGAGGGCGCCTCAACCGAAGGAGGCAGCTCCAAACCAGCGTCAACGGACACTCCTGGCCAAGCCTCGGAAAGAGGCTCAGCCAAAATGGCAGCTGAAAGGCGAACCTCATCAGACGGAGGCTCAGCCAAAAAGGAATCCACAAGAGTAGGGCGAGCCTCAACAGTTGGAGGCTCAGCCAAACCAGCACTTGAGGAGACCACTGAGGGAGATATTGCAGAAGCGGCTTCAGCGACAGACGAGCGAGCCTCATCAGAGGGAGGCTCAGCCAAGAATGCTTTTGAAACCACATCTTCATGCACAGCAGCGGCTTCAGCGACAGACGAGCGAGCCTCATCAGAGAGAGGCTCAGCCAAGAATGCGTTTGAACCCACACCATATTTCTCCCTCTTCTTGTGTTTTCTTTTACGGCGCACGCGATCGCCGATGAAGAAATTCAAGGCCTTGGCGTCCTCCTCGGCGGGGTGCGGGGAATGCGGACCGGTGGAGGCGGCGGCGGCAGCACCTGCACCACAGAGCTGGTCGGTGCAGCACTTGCTGGCGGGGGTGCTGGCGGCCACTCCTTCAAGCCCGCCTTGGCCTCCTCCGAGCGGACATCCTTGTTCTTCTTCTTGTGCTTGCGCTTCCGAGGGCGCTTGGCCTCTGCCACCGCTGGAGCCGGAGGCGGCGTCGGGATCTTCAGGCAAGCCCTCGGAGCGTCCTGAGACTCCGGAGGAAGCGAGAACGAGAATACCTCCTTCGCTACCGGCGGTGTCGGGGACCTCGTACTGGCACCGTCGCACTTCTCCTTCAAAGCCGGGGCCACAGGCGGAGCCGACGCCTCCTTCTGGTTGACCTGCAAACGGTCCCATCTCCTCAGGCGTTTTACTGGCTGCACCTCCTCCTCCTCCGGCTTCAGCGGCAGGGAATCCTGCCCCGGAATCTGCATGCCCTTGCTGAACTCCATGCCCACCACATCGACCGTGTTCCAAATCCCTGGCGGCGGCGACGGGGGGGCAGCCGTAGACAGAGCCTCCTGCGAAAACGACGATCTCGAGCTCATCGTTGGAAACTCCGAAGCACTGAGTGAAAGCACTAATACGGTGTCCTAGTGAGGTGCCCAGCAAATCATCCGGCACAAAAAAGCGCATGGACGGGGCCTTGAGCCTGGGTGGCTTGAGCCAGGAGGAGGAAAGGACAAGGAGGAGGCGGAGGAGGAGGAGGAGGAGGAGAAGGAGGAGGAGGAACGAGGAGGCGGAGGAGGAGAGAGTGAGGGCCAGGGGGGGGCGGGAGGGGGGAGGGAGGGCGGCTTCTGGGCGGCAGTGGGGGGGGGGCATGCCGCCCTCCTGAGGGCACGGGGCTCGAGAGGACCGCCAGAGGTTTGGCATCGCTCGGATGCGTGCGTGTTTATTCATTCATATGTGCATATATATATATATATTATATATATATATATATATATATATATATATGTATGGGTACCGAATCGTGCGTGTGGAACCGAATCATGCACGGGGAATGGGCGTCCGAGCGATTGCAGGGAGGGGCTCAGAGGGCCCACTCTCGTTCCAGCTCTGTTTCGCTCCTCCGTTTTCTCATTAGTCTCCATTCTTTTTCTCTTGGGCAAACTCTGAGCGAAGCTCATGGCGTCGCCCCTTCTCTCCACTCCCCTTCCTCAACGTTGCTCATCCTGCTCCTCTGCTTCATCCTCTTCTCCTCGTCCTCCTCCCTCCTCCTCCTCGTCCTCCTCCCTCCTCCCTCCTTCCTCCTCCTGTTTCTCCTCCCCCTCTTCCTCCTCCTTCTCCTCCGTCCTTGCATCCTGCTGCAGGGGGCAGTCGATTATGTTTTTTTTGTTGGCGACGTACACATACATTCCTTATGCTGGCGGTGGGAAACGAAACGCCACAAGAAACAACCAAACAAACCAACGAAACTGAGCTGCTGCAGGCTGAAACGCTGGGAAACAATTGGACGTCACACACAAAGCAGGGAATACCTTCCGAAAGAACGCCCTTTCCCTCTCCTCTTCCTCTTCCTCCTCCTTCTCCTCCTCCTTCTCCTCCTCCTTCTCCTCCTCCTCCTCCTCCCCCTCCTCATCCTCCTCGTGTTCCTCCTCTTTCGTTTACCCCTCCTCCCTTCCTCCTCCTCCTCCTCTTCCTTTTGCTGCTCCTCCTCCTCCTCCTCCTACTTCTCCTCCTCCTCGGTTTCCTCCTCCCCCTCATTCAAATAGGATGGGTTGCCGCTGTTTGGTCCGAGCGTTGACGCTTATCTTCGTACCGTATGAAGACTGAATGTAAATATTATTGCGGCCATGCTTTCTCTCATACAGCCTCCAACCCCCGCAAGTATAGTTGGTGGCGGGACTGGGAGCGATCCCAGCTCGTGATGCATAGAACATGCGAAGAGCGCGGTGTGGTCACGCAGTCGCACGTTCCTCCACCATCGCATTGGTACCATTTTCCATTCCCTGAACAGCTTGTGTTGCTGTCCGCCCCGCAAGGCAAGTGGCAATTCGCTTCGGACGTCCAGCCCGACCGCGAGGGCAACAACAGAAGGCGTAACCGCGATGAGGAGCGACTCGCCCACAGGAGCGCCACGAGATTCTTCGACCTATCGCAACCACGCAGGCACTGGCCGCAGCTTCGCGTTGGGCATGATTGCGGTATTCCGCCCTGGGCTAGCGCCGTGCCTCTGCACGTGTGCGATAGTGTTGGCGGTCCTTGTGAGCACATCGCACCACCCGAGTGGGACAACGAAGGTTAACGTACCAGTTTGACCGACTTCGGCTTTGACCAAGGTTGACAACAGCATCACCATGGGTGCCCCGCAGTTCGACATGGCGTTCGTCCCTGCGCAGGCCCGAACCCCAAAGCGCCGACGCAACCATCATCGCGGTGAGCTCTTATCGAGGAGGATATCTATCTCGACGCTCTGAGGCAGCAAGCATCCTTGTGTTATTCGTGGCTGTCCTGTTCTGGCTCACCGGCATGATGCCTGGTGGAGTTGGCCCACCTGGCGTCGGCGGCCGCGGTGCCATCGCATCCCGCCAGCCGCCCTCCTGGTCACCCGAGCGCGAGCCCATGTATACCTTCCGCCAATGGGCGCAGGACTTGATCGCTTGGAGCGCGAAAGGGCCACCGACATGGACAGCGCTCAACAATGCGCCGCCGTTATCCTCAACCTCGGCGGGGCCGCTCGCGAGCTCACGCGCTCCGTGAGTTTCGCGGAGATGTCGGAAGGGGGGCATGGCCAACGGCCAGCAAAAGGACGTCGTGACCTACCTCATCGTGAAACTCGCCACACAGTGCGGCCCACTCGGCGAGAAGTCGCGCTCCCAGGCAACCCGCGAACTCCTCGAGTTCTCGAGGCGACGCAACAACCCACCGACGCGCTGCTCTCGCGGCTTCTCACGCTGCGATTCCGGGCTGGAGGAGCTACAGTTGGCTGCTCCTCCGAGCTTTCGGCGTCACAGCTAGCCAACTCGCGGCGCTGCTCCAGCCACGCGGCAATCATTACCCAGCCACAGGGGCCGAGTTCAACAGTCTCACGACTATGCTCTGGCGCGTGACGCGTGGGTCACGCCGTGGAGCATGCGCCAAACGACATTGCCAGCGCCCTCCGCGCGCCGCCATCGTTCGGAGGGTTCGCGGGCATGACCATTGACAACCGCAATGACGCACATGGCCCCCGGCACACTCAACGTCTCAACTTGTGGGCTGCCGGCGCCGTCGATCTTCCTAGGACAGGAGGTGCCGTGACCTTCGCTACAGGCCCGTCGCAGAGCGCCGCGCTATCACAGGCAGCCTATCCGGCTGCCGCGCGGGCGCCCGCGCGCGGGGCACGCGCCTCATCGCGATTCTCCCAGCGCGCGATTGTCTCCGAGGCTGCCTGCCGAGGATGGACGATCGATGCGTTGGTCCCCATGAAGGCCCCCCTGAAAGTCATCAGCAACAAAGAACTTGCGGACGCAACATGTGAGGAGCGCGCGAGGTTAGCTTCGAGCTCTTACCAGACGCCATCTCAGCCCT